GAGAGAGAGAGAGAGAGAGAGAGAGGGAAGAAAGGTAAATTTTCACACGAGCACGAAAGAAGGACAAAGAGAAGGAGTAGTAATTAAAGATTGTTTCGATCTGTCGATCAAACAATCTTTTTACAATCAATGACGTAACGTTATTCGATAGAATTACGCGATCAATGCCAACGAACGGATTATTATCCTCCAGTCGAAGATCGTATCGGATAGTTTTCTCAAGCTCGAGTCTACATCTTAGACATTTTGCATCGAGGTCGAAATAAGGTTGTTCAGACAGGAATCTCTGATCCCTTTCTCGGAAGGTTTCTTATCTCGATACGGTTTTAGGAAAAACTCGACCGTATAACTTTATGTATTCGCCTTTTCTAACTATCCACGGTTCGCGTTTACTTATCGATTTTGAAGAGGGGAGAGGAGCCACGCGATCTCGAAACGAGGGAGAAAACGTATTCGCCTCTATCTCCTCGTGATTCTGAGAAAGCTTGAGCCGCTTTTATACCGTGATACCGTCGTGTATTCTATACAATCGTACGTACCATGGCATTGGTTTTCGTTTCGCTGCTTTTCCTCCGCTTTCACGGTGTCTCTACTCTCGACGACGAAAGGATCCTTTCCAAACGATTATCTATTTTTAATTCTGATGAGAAAAGATTGCGCGCTTTCTCTTCAACTCTCTATAACATCATATCATAATTAACAATTATTTTCCTTTCTTTGTTTCAGAATTTGCCGAGTGCGACGAGAAGAGGAATCGTTCGCGTCTTCGTTTCTGTTTTTTTCTTTTTTCCTTTTTTTTTCCTTTCTTTTTACCTTCGAAATTATTTAACGTTTCCGTCTGGCATCGGAAAAGAGAGGGGGAGGAGGAAGGGGGGGGGATCAAAGAAATCGCTGCAGAAATTTCCAGGAATCGTGGGACGAGGAAGAAACATCGTGGTGTAAAGAGAAAAAAGAAAAAAAAAGGAAAGGAAAGAAAAGCGTATAAATGAAATTCCACGTCGCGACGTATCGTTGTTTCCGCGATCCTCATCCGCCTCGAGCGGAGTTGCCCGCGTAGAAATCGAGAATGGGGTTAAAGAATTAGGAGGATCGGTCGGAGCGCGTTTCAACACTCGAGCTTTAAAATGTCCAAGGAAGACTCGCGCGCTTGAGTGCGTGTGTTGCCGCTGTCCCCCAACCGGAGGTTAATTAAAGTCGATGATCGAGTCTGATGGTAAGAGTCCTCGTTAGTAACTGGAAACTGGGCCAATTTTTCCTTCACTACTCTTCTCGATGCCTTTTCTTCGAGCGAAAACAACTCGAAACAACTCCGATCCCAATTAACTATTTAACCGTTTAACCGAGCCGTTCCGTTCCCGCACGAGTGAACGGAATATCACGCTGTGGACAATATATCGCTCGCTCGAATCGAGAATTTGCTTTCGAATATCTTAATTCGATCGCGGCCAACTGCGACAACTGTGCGGGAAGAATAAAAGTTACGTCGAACCGAATAAGCGTTGACCTTAGCTACTCAACCGTAACCGCTCGACTCCACGGCTGTGTGGAAATTGCGATGATGAAATTCGACGATGCCATTCCCAGAGAGCTCCATTCCCAGCCTCGTTCGCCGATATCTCGCGGCACGGTCGAAAATCTTGCAGATAGATTCTTGGGGAAAAGATTGGGGCGTGACCGATAAGGAAGGGAAGCCCGAGACGCCTTATCTCCTTCTTCCTGCCGTTCACCGCGGATGACGAAGAGCGCGTGATCCAGTTAGACGAGCTAGCTACACCCCTTTCCTCCCTTCCAGAGACTGATAAGTACCGATTTCCATAATGGTTCCATGTACGAGTAGAGCTCGAGTCTATCCTTTTCGTAGCCCCGGGCTACTTTCCGTTAACTTATCGACTCGCTCTTAGACCCGATCGATATCGGATCGATTTCCGCTCGATCTCCACCCTTGTTTAATATTCATCGAGATGAACGGGAATTAAGATGGTCCAATTAGGAAATATCGAACGCTGTACGCGTTTCGCCGAGAAAATCGAAATTGTTTCCTTCGAACGGGGGATGTCGCGAATATTTCTTTCCTCTCTTATCTTGGTGAAATTGGGACAACAGCGTTACTTGGGGCAAGAAAGGAGAGAAGGATTTAGAAACGCGAGAGGACGATTCCCTTTCCCTAATTTTTCTTGTTTCTTCTGCCTTCGTTTCTTCTTTTATTTTTCCGGGGAAAAGGGGCCACCATGTTTCTTTCGCTTCTTTCACACCGATCCATTCCGCGAATCGTTACAGAGTTTCGAGCAAAGCCATCGATGATTACTTTTACTACGCCCCTTATCCGACTTCAATTTCGACTCTCTTCTGTTCCAGTTCAGACATTTCCATAGAAGAATATCCCTCGATTGAACACGCACCAATCGCGCCGTTCGCCGCCCCGCTTTATCCCCCGCGTCAAAGAGCAATAAAAATTTCCTGCCCGGGATGAGAATTTAAAACCGACGGAAACCAACGAAATTCGAGATGGATAGCTCACCATCACCACCACCGCGGGATTAGTTCCCCTTCTCGGAATCTGGCGGACAAGATGAGTTTTGTAATTGGAACCGCTTTCGAGATCCACATTGGAACAAAGCAGTCCGCGATCGTTCGATTAAATTATCGGTACACCTTTTCACGCTCCCAGATTTATTTATCCACGTACGAATTTCTCAACGTATCTTCAAGATCCAAGTTAAATCTTCGGCCCGATGTAGAATCCCTCTCAATTATCGTATCTCGATCTATGATTCTTCACGAGCCGGAGGAACAATTTAACGCGAAGAAAATGGCATCGATGAGGGATCCCCTCTTCCAATTCGGCGAAACTTAAATTCCTTCTTCGAAAGAAGAAAAAAAACGATCTCCAATCCTTCCGATCAAAATTCCGGGCGAATTCTTTCTCGAATCGGAAGAAACAAACGGAGGAAAAGTGGGAGAAAATTCTCTTTCCTCGCGAATCGGAAATTCCTTTGTCTTTCCAAACGAGGGGCGCACGCTCTCTTTGATCTCTCCTCTCTAATCCAGCGGCGCCAATTATCGCGCGATTCGTGTTGACGCGATTCCTCGTCAGGGAGGGAAGAAGAGGGAAGGGGAGGCGATCCGGATCGATGTGTGAACCGGTTCCTACTGGAATTTCAGGGAAGACCGCAGGCATACGTGGAGGTGGCGCGCAGTTAGCGCTCGAACAGGCCTAAATGAAGAACGATCGTCGCGGGGACAGGTGATCGATAGCGATTGCGAGGAGCCGTGTTTGTGCGTGTGTGTGCGCGCGCGCGCGCGTGGCCTGGCGCAGGGGGTGATCGTGGCGGTGGCGCGCGGGGCTCGGGGCGGAGAGGAGCAAGATGGAACTCTTCCTGATTCTCGTCTGTCTGATCGCGCCGCCCACCCTCTCGCTCTCGATCAAGAGCAAGCTGAATCCACGGATCGTCCAGACGCGTTACGGCGAGGTGCAGGGGGTCGTGCGCTCCTTCGAGTACGCCAAGTTCCTCAAACCGATCGACGTCTATCTCGGGATACCGTACGCGACCCCTCCGATAGGGGGCAACAGATTCTCGCCGACCAAGGCGTCCAGCCCGTGGGAAGGAGTCAGGTGAGCGAAACACAATTATATACGATTATTTATTTTTTTAACGTATCAGCGTTCGTTAATCGAAATCTTCCAAGCCGCGAAAAGCTTTGATAATCAACGAGGGACGAGGAGACGGGGAAGGTGCTTGGAAATTGTTTGTCGACGATTGGTCGAAATAAGAAGATAAGAATAATTTTTAAATATAGAAGAATTTTCAAATTCGACGGGATTTAGCGGGGGGGGGGGGAATCTAGGAATCTCAGTCACTGAACAAATGTCGCTGTTGTAAATAAACCGTAAACTCGTGTTGTTGTTGTTGTTGTTTCGCATTTGATATTCGAGGAAGCCTAAAATTTTAGCGCAAACTTTGATTTCCAAAGAACATTCCGGGGATCCTTTTAATCCCCCCCCCTCCCCCCCTCCCTCCGAAACCTCGAACGTATTTCATCGGCATATTTCTCGGGAAGTTATGTCAAACTGCTCCTTTGAAATTCGCCCAAGTATTTAACCTATCCTTTCATACGTCCACCAACCTGTCATCCGGATAGGACTCGGATTAAAAAATTACTCGGGTAGAATGAAAAATGTTGGCGAAGCTAACATTTTTTTCCTTCCTTTCTTTTTTTCTTTTCTTCTTTTTTTCTTTTTTTCTTTTTTTTTTTCGTTTTCGTTTTTCGTTTTCCCCGTCCAACCGATGATTTTCAAAAAATACGACGAAAGAGAGGGAAGAGAGAGAGAGAGAGAGAGAGAGAAGGAAAAGGGGGAAAAATTGGAGGAGCGACGTTTCCCAAAATTCGGCAAATGCAGGCTTTTAGAATATTTCGGCAGAGTTAGCGATCCTCTTCCGCTTCCAACGACTCTTTTCTCGCTCCATGCTGGCGAAGCAAAAACGGAAACACAATTATACACGACCTTAATCTCCATATATTACGAGTCGGAGGGACAAAGGTGCTCGTAACGCAATACACTCGGAACACATAATTAACTAAGCACGGAGTAGTTGGCGGCTGGTCGTCAAGAACGGAATATTCTCAAAGCGCATTTTTTCGAAATTTCAAACGCACGCCACTCGCGATGAATCAAAAATTTGGCTCAAGGCTTTCTTCTCTTTTCCCCGAGAGACCGAGTATTTTTAAAGAATTAAATTTCATATTTCCAAGTACCTTTCTCCACGATCTAAACAATCTCGATATATCCGACGTTAAAAAAAGAATGGAAACGAAAAATATAAGAGGGATAAAAATTTCTTTTATCCACCTCTTACTCGTTATAATTATTGCATTATTGTTTGTACATCCGTTTATATTAAGAATTATTTTAATCTTAAACGAAGATTGAACGCGATTGATCGCGTGATACTCGAGGACGAGCGAGGGAAAAAAGCATCAGAATTTCGTTTCGCATCGATGTGATTTATCCTTCTTTGTAGATTATCGGATTCGGTGGGTCCGGTCTGCCCTCAAAAGCTGCCCGACATCTCGAATGAGCAAGAGGCGTTAGAGCGTATGCCGAAAGGTCGACTCGAGTACTTGAAGAGATTGCTACCCCATCTACGAAATCAGAGCGAGGATTGCCTCTACCTGAACATCTACGCGCCTGCCATGGGTGAGTAATTTTCACATCGAGGAAAAATTACCGAACTCGATTCGACCTGTTTTACGAGCTCGAGCTTTCCAACTCGTGCCACGTTGATACTACTGAAAAAAATGTGTACAAAATAGTTGAAAATAACCGATGATTGAAAATACGAAAGCATTGGATGATCGTAAATTTCGCGAGAGATCGATTGGTGAGGCGAGTGGAATCGGTCGTGGAATTCTATGGAAAAATTAAAAGGATCGACTCGATCGATTTGGAAGCGGAATTTCATCTCGTTTAAAAATTGTACGATTGTAGTTAGCGATTGGAACGAAATACTCGATCTTTATTTCTGATTCCGTGTCTGAACCGCAGACTAAGAAACAGGATAGGGAATGACGATTTTCAATTTCGCTCGGATCGTTTTCGAAGATTTTCGTTTCGATCCCAACGTTCGCGCCAACATTCCGGGAGCCAATAGGATGGAAGGAAATTATAAACGAAGCGGAGACTCTGAAAAATCCACTTTATACGCGGAACGATCTCGAACGAACGCGCCGTTTTTAATATTAAGCATACTTGTCGATGTTGAATAGCCAAGTAGCTCCATGTTACCTCTCCTGTTGTAACTTTCTGACCCCGTTTTCCTCCATCCGACCCTACCACCAGTGATATCAGCAAACATGACAAAAAACACATAAAACTAGATTTCATGCGGTCGTGTTCAACTTTTTGCATGCCTCATCGTAGTTGCTGTTTCATTGATAGCGTTCCTCTACTAGATGGGAAGGAATCTTCCAATCTAATTTTTTTTTTTTTTTGAAAACTTTTTAATACAGATGAATTTTTTCTTCCTCCTCCAATATATATATATTTTTTTTTTCAAAATTCGATAAACTTCGATATTACGCGAAATTAACCCTCGACTTTGCGCTACGTTTTTTCTTGGACGATGATACATGTTATATAAATATTTATTCGAGAAATCCGCGTCAGATTATAAGTTTAATCGGAACAAGAGTCGAATATCGCCTATGCGATATACAAAGTTTTTTCTCCCGTGAAACAAGATATATTCTCGTTGTCATATTTATAAGGCGCGATTTATATTAAAAAAAAAAAAAAGAAAAAATTACTTCTTTGAAAATCGTCCCCTTTAAATAGTATTACTTGTTTACTCGTTGAATAATCAAAACCGCCGCCTATTTTCTTATGTAGGTCTTACGCAGGAGGAGAATTTTTATACACGCAGTGTATGGAAAAACCGTGGCGTTAAATATGTGGGCCAAGTCTTGAAACCTTGTTTTTTAAGGTTTTTTCGCGCAAATGTTATTCCCCTCTGCTCTACGTTGCAAGGCGAGAGACGGTTTCAATAATAATACATCATGACGTTTTACCCCACGAAATAGGAAATTTTATTTTTTCGCCTTAAACTCACTCTCGGCCCACGTGTACCCCGTTTTTCTTGCACCCTCTTTCGGGCCGGAAATTGAATGGCAAAAGCGTCGGGGAACGTTTCGTCTTGCGAGATACGCGTACACGTTTACGCGTTTCACCGAAGTTTTTGACGAAATAAAGGGAGATGAGGAGGGAGTGGAGAAGAGGAAGTATTTTTCTAAACCGGATAAAAATGCATCGGTTTTTCATTTCGACCTTCTACGTGTCGTTTGGTCTCCACCCTCGTATCGAACGTACGAGCGAGAGTCGAACGTTGAAAAGTCATTCGTGCTCGAAAACACTAGTGAAACGACGATCGTTATCGATCGTTAAATAATTCCTCGGATAAACGCACGTAAACGACGAATATATTTTTTCTGATCGCCGTTGAAGGAGAAAGATACACTAATGATTTCACGATATCATATCGTCACCGATCTATCCGGTAATATTTGTTTTATATACCCGAAACAATTCACAGTTCAAACAGGACGCCAGTATTCCCGAAACGCGCTTAATCGTTAGACAACTAGTTAGCAAACTACCCCCTCGATCAACTCTATTCCGTTATCAGCTAATTTCCACGAGCTAATTTATCTCCGTGTAACGAATCCACCTGGGAATAATAGAGATCGCCGTTGCTTTTCGAAAAGTGATGCGTGATATTTGAGCGATGGTGCCCGTTGAAGAGAAAAGAGACAGAGAGAAAAAAGAAAGAAAGAAGGGGGAAAAAAGGGAGCGTAGTCGAGGAATTGCGGAGGGTTAGCGAGGGAACGGAGCGAAAGAAAGCACTACAAAGCGGGTTGTATAGAGGGTTGTGCATCGAACATTGTGCGGTACAACCCCTCCCTATGGGATCCGGGTCAAACCGTTTTCATCTCTTTCGTGTATCGCGGGCTGCACGTTCGCGTTTCGACAATGAAACATCGTACAGACGTAAATGTAAGCCGGAATAGGAAACCAGAACACGCTACTCTGCAAGTCTGCGCGCGAGCGTGACTACCTGGTGCCGGGGCAGCTGTCCAGAATGCGAAACTGTCGCGGATGTGCCCACCCCCGCTCCTGGGGATCCCCCACCTACGCCTACCATCGAAAAATAGTTTCGTCGTCGCTTTCGTTCGTTCACCTAGCAAAGAGGAGAATTAATCCCGCGTTATCGTTAATAATAATAATAATAATAATAATAATAGTGACAGTTTTCCTTTGGTGCATGGAAGATGTGGATAGAACGAAAGGACGAGCAAGGAGGGAAGCGTTATCTCGAAACGATAATGCACAAACCGAGCAAGATGGTCAACGCGACGCGGCAACGGTGAAACAATTTCCGATCCGTTTAATAATGCAGCAGCGATGCACGGCCTGTTTACAAACAGGGCGGCGCATACAGATAGCTGGGAAATTTAGCGACAGCGAAAGAGCAGTCTCTGTAAGCTTTTAACATTCCGCTCTGGAATTTTACGCCGATCCATATAAAAGATGTATCGCCGCTTCGATTCGCGTGGTCAGACGGCAAAACGCCAGGTTGATTTTTATCGTCGTGGAATTTTATTCCTTCGATCCTCATTGTCTCTCTTCCTTTCAGATTTAATAACGAAGCTCGATCTCGATGGAGATTCTCGATCTTGATCTTTGGTTTATATTTCCGATCTAGATTGGAATCGAGCGAACTCGATTAATCGGGATGCGGTTAAGAACACTGGAGGCCGAACTCTGACATCCGAGGACACGATCTCGATTGCCGGGTGATGACAACAGGGATTACAGAGCGGTTGATTCTAGTCGGGAAGACGTAGCTCGTCGAGCATTACACGTGTTAAGTGATTCGAACTTGGTGTACGCGTGTATAGAGCTCGATCATCTTCCGATCATCGTTGGATGCCGAATTGGAAGTTCGCGTCTCTCGACCACCGGAATTTCCATTCGCGGTGAGGATGGATTCATATCGAGTATCGGATACGAAAAAAAGGAGCAACGCATGTAACGTGAGAAGCGGAGAGTGTCGTTTACTCGTATAAATCGTAGCATCGAATTTTTGGAAAGAAAGATTCGTTCGTTCGTGTTCGATGCGAGCGAGTGAAATTCGGATGAAATTGTGAGACAGAGGAGAGCGAGGCCATCAGACGCGAAAGCAACCGAAGGAATTCCCTGAATATTTTACGCATCTCGTCTTCTTACGCGAACTTTCGTATTCAACTTGGTTCACCTCCTTTCAATTCTCGCCGGGGCTTGTATACTTTTCAGTCGAACCAGTTTTATGGTTGATCTATCGTCGACCCGGATCCACTTGAATATCTATAAGATCTATATCGTATCCCGAATATCCAATGTGCAATCCGTATTATAATTCTTAAGAAACTGTATATATTCCTCGTTTAATATTGGAAACAACGATTACTTCATCCATCGGATGACACGAACGAAGAAAACGAACGAGTTTAACAGGTAGAAAGAAAAAAAAATTCTTCTTCCATCTCGTCGATTCGAGCATTAACGATAGAGGCGTTAAATCAATTTTCGCCGATTATTTATCATCGTTGATGGGAGATTGGTCGGCCAACAAGTTCCACGCGTCATAAAATAAATTTTTTCCATCGGCCAAGAATAATCGAGAGCCAACGGAAATAATTTAATGCCTATAAATCTTTGACCTTCGTATTGGCATCCCCCCCCCCCTAATGATTAATAAAAATGCGAAATTAATTATTAAAAAAAGGAATAATTATTAAAGAGAGATCAGTTGTTCTTTCCCCGCGAAAACTTTTCATTCAACGTGTAACGATCAACGGGAAAACAACGTGTCCTTTGTGAGAGTAGAATTTTCAATCTTTGACAGATTAAATTTAAAAGCGATCAATGGGTCCAACCTTTGAAAGTAAAATTCTTTCTCTCTCTCTCT